TTTTTTTTTTAAATAAAAAATGCCGGTGTAATTTATGAGGGAAGGGGGAGAGGAATTGGCATGTTAGTTGCATGAGTGTTGTGTGGATATGTGTGTTTGTGTAATTACCATTTAATCTTTAGCTTTTTGAGTTTTGGGGTGTGCTAAGACCTGTTAGTTTGAGAGGGCTAAGGTGAGACACTATAAGTGAATGTTAATAACATTTTCCTACACCATTTCTCAGCCTTTAGATTTCCCTTCTATTTCATAATGCTGATAGGATGATATTTCATTTTGTTTGGTGTAGAAGGTGTTTGTAGGAGAGGATACTTTGTGAGCTGGTAATATACTCAGGCAAAGGGAAGTGGTTTACAGTTTATCAGAGGAAATGAAATGGTGTGCTCTTTCATTTTATACTATTGAACATTGCTTTTCATTAAAAAGACGAAACTTTCAAGACATTTGTACTTTAAGTGCTTCTCAGATATTTTCATATTTTGAACATTCATTCATGCATTCATTCATTTATTGGCAGCTGGCCTGTACGGGGATCTGAACCCTGGACCACGGTGTTATCAGCAGCACGCTCTAACCAAGTGAGCTAACCAGCCAGCCAGATACATTCACATTTTAACATTTAGAGATTTGGAGGATGTCATTGCTAGATTTTTTTTTTTCCAATGGATCACCCACATGCATTTTCTTCTCAAAATAGTATGTCCTAAAACTTATTACTAACTTCAAACAGATGACTAGTGCTGTTCCAGGATATTTTGGTTCTGGAATTTAGAGTGGGACCTGGGAATCTGTATTCCTAGGAAGTTCTTCAGGTGATGCTTAGGCTCGGGCAAGTGTGGGAGACAATAGAGAAATGAGGTTACCCAGCTGTCTGTGCAGTGACTGGAGAGTTAGTGGGTTATCTGTTCTGTCTTCATGAAGTCCAAAATATCTTAGAGTAATATTGCAAAGGGAGGGTAGGACAAAGTCAACCAGGAAGATGAAATGGTAAACTCCGTGGGACCTTAAGTTCAAATATTGATTAGCCCTGCATCAAGATGCCCTGTCCTCAAGAATAGCTTTATAGTAGGGTCTTTGTCGCCCAAAGCTGACTCAGGAATCTTTCATCTGCCATTGACAAAATTTGCCCTTGCTCAGGCTATAGAACTGCACTTCCCAGTACTATGGTCACTAGCCACATATAGCTATTTCAATTTAAATAAATTTAAAAATTTAGTTTCTTAGTTGCAATGGCTACATTTTAAGTACTCAAAGCCATTGTGGCTAGTAGCTGCTTTATTGGAGAGCACAGCTATAGAACATTTCCATTATCACAGAAAGTTCTACTGGACAGCAGCACTGCTATAAGATTTTCCTCTGTAATTTAGCTAATTTAGCTCTTTTATCCTGGGTAGTTACAGTGGCTAATAGAGGTGGGTAGCAAGACCACATGTCCATCCATCGCAGGGGGTCTTGCCATTTGAAAACTTCTTAGGCCAGATGGTCTGGGTTAGCAAAATATTTTAAATCATGCTTAGTTCTCTAGGATCAAAATTTAATAACAGAATTTTACTTTTGTATTGTGAATCTGTTGTTGGTCTGTGTTGATTCTTAGTACTTGAAAATGGGCTTAATTAGAAATTTGCTTAATATGGTATATGGCTTATAATAAAAAATTTTACCACTGAAATAAAATTGCAAATATATAGTCTCTCTTAGGTTATATAAACTATCTATTCCTAAGTAAGAGTGCAGGTGACAACTCAAGTGTCTAAAAATAGGTGGCTAATAAACAGGTTGCACATATAGATATTTTCCTGAAGACTGTCATTTACCTGTAGTTTACATTTGGAGAAATTTGAGGTAGATATATTTAGCTCTCTCCTCTGGCATATTTTGAGAAAAAATATTTTTCCTAAAAATTATTTCATAATTTTTTGAGTGAGAATATGTTTATTAATGTAATGCTGAAGGAAGTTACTTATGAGTGCTATCTAATTAGATTTTTTTCTTTTGCATTATTACAATTGGTAAAACATGTAAATAAAGCATGGAAAAACAGTTTATGAAAGCATCATATTTCTTAAACTCCTAACTAGCCAAAATAGATGTAAACAAATAAAGGCTTTGACAGCAGTTACACAGGGACTTTATTTGATGTCACGTGGGCAGTGATCATTTGCATTGGCTTCCGTAGCTGATGCTTGGCCACCCTGGCACTTGTGAAACTTTGCAGCAAGAGTACAAAAGGAGGTCCACATACCCTGCATCTAAATATTGATATAAATCATATTAACAAACTGTTCGATGAAATCTCTTCTATCTTCCTACCTGGGCATTTATTCCTTCCTAATGACCAGGAGGCCAGATTTGAAATCAGATTTCTTGGGCTTCTTGGACTTATGCTTCAGTGCATGATGATGTGGACAGAGCTGACCTGGCTCATCCCTGGCTTCTCCCTGCACATCCAAACTCCAGTCCATCCCAAGCCCCTCTCACCCGGCCCCAGCCCCTCCTGGACTTAGGGGTGCACCTGGGCAGGAAGGTCTGCCCTGGGGAGGATGGACCTGGGGTAGAGGCCATTTGGCAGGGAATTCCAGGACTCTGGTTAGGTACTCTGTGTCCTAGGAGAAAAGAAACAGGTATGTCCCCTTGGCCCTGAGAGTGCACAGCCTGGCATTGGGGTCCCTTGCTGGGGCTTGACGTTGCTACTGTCAGATGTAATTAAGTTATTTTGTACTTAAATGTTGTTCATTGTGGTCTGATGCCTTGGACTACCCCAAATGAAATGTAATGGTGGGATCTCGTTTGTGTGCAGCTTTGGCTCTTCCGGACCTTGCAGAGCAGTTTGCCCCTCCTGACATTGCCCCGCCTCTTCTTATCAAGCTGGTGGAAGCCATTGAAAAAAAAGGTAACCAGACTGCTGGCGGGAGTCAGTTCATTTGTTACACCCTTATTTCATGGCTGTTATAATCTATATTTGTCTCTTGGGCATTCATTAAATAAATTTCCTACTGCCTGCTATGTGCAGATACTGTGCTAGACACACACGGGATCTGAGGCTGTGGACTGGGGAAATGATCTTGGTCTGTGATTTCTAACTCTAACATGTAGTTACTGTATGGAAACTATTAAATTCTCCATAATTTAATAAATATGACTAACTTGCTTCTTAGTGGCCAGATGGTTTGGCCAAAATTATTGACATGCCAGATAAGATTAATAGTAGGAGTTGACTTCCAGGAATATTTGGTACACATCTAGAACAGATACTGGATGGGAACTGGAATGCTGTCTGGCAGCAGGCTCACGGGTTCTCCAGAGAGCTATGTTTTGCATACACAGTCTGTTTTGTGTCCTAGGTCTGGAATGTTCAACTCTGTACAGAACACAGAGCTCCAGCAACCTGGCAGAATTACGACAGCTTCTTGATTGTGGTGAGTGTCACAGAGCTAGAAATACAGATGGGAAAGACAGGTCTTACCTTTCAGTTTCAGGTAGTACAAAAACACTTAAGTTAATCCATGCGATGTTTTAAGTTTAAAGGGAACTCGAATCTCGCAGTTTCCTCTGCCTTATATGGTAACAGTGCAAACCGGTGCAGTCCTTTGATGTTGTCTCCTGAGCTGGGGTGTGTGTGCAGGGCTGCCTGCAGGCATGTTGGCTTCTATCACAGCTGTAGCCCTAGGTCCCGCAGGACTTGCAGAGGGGAGAAACAACCCCTTGGGGTTTCTCTGGCTCCTTGTACCTGCCATCTTCCCTTGACCCTGCAGTTGTCTACAGCTAGTTCATCCGGATCACTTTAGAACATATTTATAAGCTTATGTCATTTCACAGATGTCTCTTCTGACCACCCTCTCCCCTTCATTACCTTTCCATTTCCTTGTCCATTTCCCCCTCTTTTTTGTTTTACTTTTCTCTGTCTGGCTTGCTTGCTTTTCTGTGTCACATACACATTAAGTAACATCATGATACTGTTATATTCAACGGTGTGCAGGTGAACCAACCGTCTGGGAAGAAAAAGCCCTGGTTCATAGCTTTGCCCATATCTGTAGTATAAATATTCCCATCCTGGTTGATGTCAAACTTTAAACCAACAAGATTTCCCTGAACGTGGAGTTGGGAAGAATTGAGAACATTTGGCTCTTGCGAGCCGGTACCTGCCAGCTCCAGCACATCACTGGTTAAAGCCAAGGGGTGGTTTTGTTATTTGCCCCCATCCCCCTTTTTCCATACAGAAAAAACTGTACAAATTAATTTACTAGCCATCTTTCCAGCAAGTCATCTTCTCATATCAACTTCTAGAATCTCTCAGATTCTTTATATTATTATAACACCTTTTTTTCCACCTGTAAGTTGTGCCTGACATTATTTTAACTGAATTTGGATGTTTGAGCCAAAAAGAGTGAAACCCAGTTTTGCAAGACTCTGCTTCAGAAGTATAATTGTATGAAGAATGCCCACATGGTGTTTAGTAAATGGGGATTTGAAGTGTTAGGCAGCTTCAAAACGAGGCAACTTGTGAAACTTTCTAGAAAAGACATTTCTTGGAGGAAGAAAGAAACTGGATCTTTATCAGTAAATACCTTCACTCAAAATGTACTGATCAAAAGTTTTGCAACTCTTCAAAAAAAGTTTTTTAAGCTTTATTTATTTATTTATTTATTTATTTAAAAAGTTTTTTAAGCTTTATTATCAGTAAATACCTTCACTCAAAATGTACTGATCAAAAGTTTTGCAACTCTTCAAAAAAAGTTTTTTAAGCTTTATTTATTTATTTATTTATTTATTTATTTATTTATTTATTTATTTATTGTACATGGAAATCAGTCTTTCACATACAGGGAGGGTGTATCCTCTTTGTTGCTAAATTTTTTGTGCTTCCCGCAGAGGAGGTCATTCAAAGTTGACTGGCAGAAAACTCAAGGAGAAAAGGCTTGTTTTTCTATATTTCTAATAGCTTTACCAGGGTGTGAAGGAAACACTGAATTTTGTCATTAGCCAATTGAAATAGAGATACATGTTTTGGTCAGAAAATTGGTCAAATTGAACATGTTAAAAGTCACAGGAAATGTGTAGACATCAGAAACCGATGAAATGGAATTTACTTGAGAAATGGTGGTAATGGTGGTTAGGTTTTAAATGTGACCGATACAAATGATGCTGTTTAGCTAAAAATAAAAAAATGGTTTTTATACCGCCTGTGAGGTAAACAACCATTATTCACGTCAACAATATATTCTGACAGACAGCCTTTCTTCTCCATTGACATCAAAACACACACGTAGAAAATTGGTTTTATTTGGATTCTGTGCTATAAAAGTGTATTTTGTGGCAACAAATGAAAAAGTACACATTGTTCAGACTTGAGTGGGTCTGTGAGGACTGTTTTCAGCTTGAAGATTTTTCAATACATAAAAATATTTTACTATCTTGGAGGAAGATCTGAGATAAGTCATTTACACTGCAAAAAATCATGACTTTTAACCAACCTTGTGCATTACCAGTGTCTGAAAAGAACAGACATGGGGGACAACAGCCATTTTTGTTAGCACCTACTAAGTTATGTTATTTCATCCACACGTATATCTTGTGATATAAGTATTAGCTACGTTTACTCACCAGAAAAGGAAGCTAACCCTCAGCTAAGTAATTTCTCTAACGTTTTTCAGCAACGTCGCAAACCTGTGACTCGTATACAAATTGTTCTGACAGCAAAAGTCCTCGTTCTTTTTTTTCCTATTTTGCCCTAAAATGAATTCTTTCTTTCTTTCTTTCTTTCTTGTCTCATTTGAGTTTTAATGATATCAATTTCCTCTTGACATTTTTTGATTTCTCTTAACCTGAACCAGGCTTTCTCAACCTCTACACTATTAATATTTTAGGCTAGATAATTCTTTGTTGCAAGAGTTGGAGACTGTCCTGTGGCTGCTAGGATATTTAGCCACATCCCTGGCTTCTACCAACTGGGTCCCAGTAGCATCCTCTGCCAGTTGTGACAATCAAAAATGTCTTCAGATGTTGCCAGATGTCTCTTGGAGGGGCGTAAAAATCCCACCTCCACCCTCACCCTCGTGGAGAACCACTAACCTAGATAGAGATCAGTTAGGGAAGAGACTCCTGCATTGCAGTGGGAGGTGTGAAGTGATGGAGAGCTTACTGGTTGCCTGTCATGAATACAATGAAAAGTGAGGCAGAAGAGAATGTAAACTCCTCCAACCCAGAGCTAAAGATTATGCAGATCTCTAAATCATCACATGACAGATGTGTATAGCTATTGGGAGAGCATGTTAGGATAGTTTTAATGCAGAAAAGGAATCTTAGAGAGCACAAATCAGAAACCCCAAGGAACTTAAGAAGTTACATTACAAAAATAAATAAAACATACTGTGTCATCAGTTCTAGTGGAACTTGACATAAGGTGAGCTGATCCAAAGACCTGCATTAAGGTCATTTCATTCAAACACGATAAAATCCACAAACATTTAACACATTCTGTGTGCTGGCGCCTGAGGGATGCAGGTGAGAACCACAGTCCATGCCCTTGGGGTCTCTCATTTGAGCAGGGGAGACCCATAACCCCACATATTACCATATTGTTTGGTAAGTGTCCTGACAGAGGGGTGTCATTTCAGCACTGGGAGAACACAGGAAACCCTGCCTGAGAGAAGCACATGTGAAACATTTAGTGTCTCAATGTTTATCGCCATTTTCAGGATGAGCAGGTTAAGTGATATTAATTTGCTGGGCAAAGCATCATTATAAATGAAGCATGTGAGGCAAAGTATATGAGGGACAGAAGCTTGTCCCCTAGTCAGTGATTGTGAAGTGTTCCTGTAGTGATACACGCACAATTTTATTTGACAGTATTTTATTATGGCAGTAATTGCATTACTTTCAATGTAGATCCTCTATGCAAAGACCTAGTACTGCCCTTCCCACACTGTTAGAGATGTGAAGTGCCTCTGGTTAGTTCTTTGCAGGACATTTAAGTGATTTAACACTTTGCCTCTTCACCTTTTAAGTGTAATCATTCTTTTCCTCTAACTGACCTATCATATTTTGTGCCAGACTGAGTTTTCTTAGGGCTTTATGGTGTTGCATGATTATTTTCCATAACATCTGCCTACAATGAAGCAAGTTTGGTTTATGATAATATGTCCAAAGAATTTTTGTAGCCTTAGGCTAGGATGATTTATATTGTCATACTTAGTTCCAGGGTATCCATGATACCACCTCCTGTTCACTCGTGTGCTCAAACTCCAAGGAGTAAACTTTGATACTTTTCTCATTCTCTCCTAGGCCACAGCCCAGTCCAGTCAACGACCAAGTTATGTTACCTCTTGAAAATGTCTTGCACACTTCTAACTGCATTAGAATTCAGATCACATCACTTTGCTTCAGATTACCAAAATTGGTAGTTACTTCCAGCAGCCCCTCTTTCCATTTTATTCTTAAACACTACAATTAATAAACCTGTATAAGAAGGTGACATTTTGCCCATCAGCCCACCTTTCCTCTCATGAGCCCATGAGTCCCCAAATAACTTCAGGTTACCCTTCACGTTGCAAGTATACATCCTGCAGCAGCCCCCAAATGCTTCTCCTCATTTCTAGATGCCCATCGTCATTCCTGCCCCCAGACCTTTGTTCCCAGCACTCCTTATTTCTGTGGGGCTTTATGCCTTTTCTTATCCCAAGTACTCAGAGCACACATCCTGCAGCAGCCCCCAAATGCTTCTCCTCATTTCTAGATGCCCATCGTCATTCCTGCCCTCAGACCTTTGTTCCCAGCACTCCTTATTTCTGTGGGGCTTTACGCCTTTTCTTATCCCAAGTACTCAGAGCACAGTGCATAGTGAGTGCTCAGGGTGTTTTTGATTACTGTCACCCTGTTTTTGAATTGCTTGACCTCTTCTCCAGCTGAGGGATTTACTAGACAGATACTCTTGTCTTATCTTTCTTCTGAGATAGTCTGATGCCCATGGGTTAGATTAGTAGTAATACTCAGATTTAGGGGGAAACATTCTGAAAATATTCAACTTATTTTTCTGGACATTCTTGAGACTGATTGTTAAAATTCTGTAATCTCTTACTACTTAATCAATCACCCTGTTAGGTTAAATTTACCTTAATTCTGAGATGCAGTATTTGTCAATTCAAGTTTCAGGAGACCTGGGAGTTTGCATTTCTCATTTTCCTGTTGAGGTTTTAGGGAAGATTTACTCTGTGACTAACAAACCCCAGGCAGAACCCTTTTCAATCAGGGCAGAACCACCCTCCAGAGGGTGTTTGGGAACGTGTGGGGTGGGGATTGGGGGGCAGGACAACAAGGCTATATTAGTTTGCTCAGGCCACCATAACAAAATGCCACAGACTGGGTGGCTCAAAAACAGAAATGTATTTCTCATAGTTCTGGAGGCTAGAAGTCCAGAGTGTAGGCAGGTGTGGTTTCTCGTGAGGTCCCGCGCCTTGGCTTGCAAATGGCCTGCTTCTCACCCTGTTCCCATGCTGTGTGTGTGCATTCCTGGTGTCTCTCCCTGTGTCCTAATCTCCTCTTCCTACAAGGATATCAATCAGATTGGATTAGAGTTTACTCTAACAGCCTCATTTTAACTTAATCACCTCTTTAAAAGCCCCATCTCCAAATACAGCCATTTTGAGGTTCTGGGGATTTAGGCTTCAACATATGAATTTGGGGAGAGACACAATTCAGCCCATAACAGGGGAATTTTTTTTTTTTTTTTTTTTTTTTTTGTCCCTAAGTCTGGGAGTATGCTGCTGGCATCACGGGCAGGGAGCCAGGCATGCTAAATGCTTGGAACATGTGGGATAGACCGGCACAAAGAAAAATTGTTCTACCCAAATGACAAGAGCAACCCCTAGGAGAAACACTGCTAATAAATATTGTTTCCTTTCCTATACCTCACTTAAATGTTCAGAAAATTGGCCCAACTGATGTATAAAATAAATGTCTGAAGTATTTCTTAAAATGGTTCTTTTCTAGATACGGCCTCTGTGGACTTGGAAATGATTGATGTGCAAGTTTTAGCAGACGCTTTCAAACGCTATCTCCTGGACTTACCAAATCCTGTCATTCCAGTAGTCGTTTACAGTGAAATGATTTCTTTATCCCAAGGTTTGTTTCTCTTCTGAGAATCTCACTGAACACATATTGAGATGTGGATGTGTTTGTAAACTCTATTATGTGCTGCATATAAAGAGATAGTATTTAGAAAATAGTAATAGTAACCTGCCCCTCTCCTTCACTACCACCCAAAGTTACCTTCCTTATCAGGGCATTCGATGAAAGACTCAGATTCTCGTCTGCTTAGGAAGACTGCCTGCATAACAAAATGGCTAACTGTTTACCTTTTATCAGTATTAACAAAGTTCACTACATTAATAATAGACTTGGTGTTCCCAGTACTAGTGTCAGATTCAGGAAACTGGGATTAGGGCCCAGTAACTGGGGGTGTCCTTGTCATCTCCCCCGAGTGGCCATAGCAAAACGTGTTGAGGGAAAAGGGCTCTCAGCTTTAGGAGCTCAGGCTCAGTTAGTGCTTTGGGGACAGGAAATTGTGGTTCCTAACCTTCAAAGTTAAAACTTGTGGTACTTATCTGATGCTCCTCTGAATTAGCCAATCACACTTGAAGCTGCTCAATAGAGGGCCGGTTCCTGTCAGCACACCCTGAACAGCTTGTGGTTTTTTTACACGAAGAGTTTCTTGCATTTTCATCTGACTTGAGCTTTCTACTTTCTCACAATGCATTTTCTAATGAGAAGAACAAATGTCCAGTGTGCTCCTCCTGATAACTTTTTAAATGACTCCTCCTATAGCTAGAAGAAAGAACAGACATTTTCTAGGTGTTTATTGATATCTATGAATAGTCTCCTATTCTTTCTTCTTTTCTTTTTTTCTTCCTTTGTTTTCAACGTGTAGAAGTACAAAGCCCCGAAGAATATATCCAGCTGTTGAAGAAGCTCATTAGGTCACCTAACATACCTCATCAGTATTGGCTTACACTTCAGTATTTGTTGAAACACTTTTTCAAGCTCTCTCAAGCCTCCAGCAAAAACCTCTTGAATGCAAGAGTGCTCTCTGAAATTTTCAGCCCTATGCTTTTCAGATTCCCAGCAGCCAGGTAAGTCAAAGAAAAGAAATGTATTTTGGGGTAATGAGGGTAGTCCTAAATTGATTGGTCATTAAACATTTTCTAATGATACTACTGCACAGATGCATGTGCAGATTTATATCACACAATGACTTGAATGTGTATAAATGAAAATGAGTTTGTTTTTAGGGAAGAGATTTCTAATAGAACTCTCTTTTTTGTAGCTCTGATAATACTGAACACCTCATAAAAGTTATAGAAATTTTAATCTCCACTGAGTGGAATGAACGACAGCCTGCACCAGGTAATGCTTTTTGAACATTTCACATTCTCTCACTGTTCATTTTTCAGAACCTTACAAATGGTGGCTTTAGACCTCTTCCGAAGTAATACAGGTTTATTCTGTAGAATTGCAGTCCATAGTAATATGTTACCTTGTGATTAAAAGAAAAAATATCTGAGTGGTAGTGCATATGTACAGTAAATATTCAGATTTTAATATTTGCGGATTTTAAATTATCTTGGTTTTAAATAGAATTGTGAGAGCTCCCTGTGCCCTTCAACTTTTATGTTTCTAGTTGTTGAATAAATTTATGGAGTTCATTTTAGTTGTTGACATTTTTGTTTTTGTTTCTAATACTTATAAAGTAGGGGATTTATAATTACTATATAATTTAAAGTATTTTAGAATGTGTTTTTTGGAAGCAGGTATGCTGAGAAATGTCTGTCAAAATAAACATTTTCAATAATGCAAGCAGTATGAAACCAGAGTGTTCACTGCAGCAAGTCAGAGCAAGCCAGACACTTCTTTGAAAGTAGGCTGGCGTTCAATTAGCCATTTAACAAAGCAGGAAATGTAAACCGTGTTAGCAGTGGATTTAATTTAAACTGATGTATTTTTCTTCTACTGCAGAAAGTCTAAACAACCTCACTTTGCTATATTCTGATTAAAAGTTAGCTAATGGAGGCTGGTCATTAAGGATAGTGATTAGGGTCCTATAAATGAAGTGTAGTTTCAGGACCAATAGAAATCGTTGCTTGTAGTCGTAATTTATGCCTAGAATTTAAATGAAACACCATGAATTTATTATCTAGTATGGGTAACTCATGAAGATTAACATATTTATCTCTGTATGAACTGGCATGGAAACCCAGTTAGCAGTGTCACGTAGTGGAGAATTAGTTGTGCTTTTTAATCAGGTATTGCATAGCTAGGCTTGATTGTTCACATTTGGATGGGGTAGCCTGAGAGAGATATTGGTGTACGCTTAACACCCACCTGTGGCAATGGGATAGAACACGTAGTGGAGAATTAGTTGTGCTTTTTAATCAGGTATTGCATAGCTAGGCTTGATTGTTCGCATTTGGATGGGGTAGCCTGAGAGAGATATTGGTGTACGCTTAACACCCACCTGTGGCAATGGGATAGAGGATGAGGGGAAGGTGGGGGGGGATGGTAGGTAACCACTTAAGGTGCAGGTATTGGGAAGGGCTTCTTTGGATAGGCTCAAAATACTGTAGCAAAGGTGAGAGAGGCATCAGATACAGTAGATAAGGCAAGCATGGTATGTTCCAAATGTTCCAAATCACAGCAACCAGAATGTTTAACAGATATGCCCAGCATTGTAGGTACACTGCATCGGAGAAGATTGTCAACAAGTGTGGCCTAGGACTTTAGTCCAGAGGCGGCCAAAAGGTTTCATCTCATGTGACTGCTCTGATCACTTGTTTAGTGATTTGGGGGGCTCTGTGTTGGTGTTCAGAGGCTGACCTTTGACTTAGAAGGGGAAAGAATGAATAAGGGGGCATGGGAAGTGGCAATCGAGCCATTGTTGACTCCCTCATCCCTAGACTAATTGCATAGGTGGCGAAGGAAGAGGACTAGCAAGAATGAGCAAGACCCTGGGCCAAAGACCTTTCTCTTCCTCCTGACCAGTGTTGAGGTGTCTCTTAAAGACTAGGGAGAGCTGGCCCTGCTTACAGTGAAGGGTTAGGGGGTGGTCCTGGTCTTCTCAGTGGCTACCTCCAGAGAGGGGAACACATGGAGGCTAAAATCCAGACAGGGTTTGACATATATCCACAAATGAATTTGTCACATAATGTTTTTGAGAATTTCTACTACACAGTGTGTAGTAGAGTCACTGGTGAAGTTTGATTGGTCCGACTGGTGTAAAGTGGTTAAACGTCTTTATCAGACTTAGCCTAATTCCACCAAAGTAAAAATTTATCTGCATTCATTTTTATAATGCACCCTTAAAGCTGCTTGAAATGTCAAAGGACTCTACATTCCTCTGCTAAGAAATTGGTGCACCAGTTTCAAAGAAGGATTAGTTCTGTCAGCTTTGCTAAAGAATAACAAAGCCTTGAACATTTGCTAGATCATCCCAGTATTCATGCGACCTCCTCAAGAAAAATTAAATCCAAGTAATTTTTAAATCCTAGTTTGAGCTGTTTTTTCCTTTGTGTGATATCTCTTAGCCATTCTGAAAATTGTCTAGGCGTTTTGGAATTAAACGGATGCTTCAGTGTCTCTACCCACCCAAGGAAAAAAATGTGCTCATCCTGAACACCTTTGTATTCAGGAATGGCTCCAGTGCAGATACTTAGCAGGGCACCTGGGTTAAAGAAATGATTTCTTAGGCCTTATAGGAATGCAACATTTTCCTGGAGTCCTTCATCACTGCCCCAGCATGTGTTAGTACCAGAGGGCTTTGGAAGCACGGCAGGGCACATCTCCAGGGAATGGTCATAAATCAGTCATTTGTAATAACTTTGTTGTTGTGAACAGAAATGAGTACTTGAATGAAATTTAAAGGGGACAGAAAGCATATAGATATTTTTTCTAGTATTTACCTGGTAGAACTTGAAATGATAAGTAAAGTTGATGACGTTTGAGGCAAAGTATCAATTCAAATAAATCCCATTAGCACATAGCATCTAATTAAATAGTAGGTGGGTGTGTGCATACTCTAAGTACAAAAAGTACTTTAGAGATGCAGTTGGTGACTTTTTAGGGTAATTGAGTAGACAGAAAAAGCTCACTGGAACAAACAGGACTGGAAATGGGCTTTGAAGAATAGGTATAATTTGAATAGAAGGAGAAAAATAGCATTTTGGTCTACGGAGTTTAAAGATTTATTTAAAATAAATTGCAAAGTACCAAAATTGTGGCTTGGTATTTTACAAAAGCAGTAAATATTTTCAGTGACAGTATCATAAACAGCATCATTTTAGAATAGAAAGCATTGTCCAGCTCTGCCATTTTGGGTATGAAACAACTGAAGCCCACAGAGATTGAGAGGCTCACCCTGTGCTGCCTGGCCAGCGGGTACCAGAGCTGGGTCTGCTGGGGAGCCGCACCCTGGACTCCAGCCTGTGCTATCTGCTGCCCCGTGCTGCCTGGGTTTTTTGGAAACTTCGCGAGCAATAGGGCTGCTTTTAGTGCTTTCAGTCCTCTGAAGTTTCCAGCATGTAATAAATGAAATTTATTTTCATAGTTACATGTAACTATGAAATTAGCTCCTGTGGGTCACATATAGTAGAAACCCACAATGCAATGTTTATAGCTTTGGGGGCAAGGCTCTGATTTGTGCCATCAACGTACAGCAAGAACAGCAGGTGTTTTGAGTCAAACAGGTCTGGATATGCGTGTCACCTCTTTGCTACTTATTTGCTAAGTTCTTCATCAAGTAACTCAGCTTTTCCAAACGGTTTTCCAGACTGTGAAATGGGGATAATGCTTCTCTCCTGGTGTTGTGAGGATTAAATGAGCCAATAAGTACTGAAACTTATAACCCCGTCGAGTCTCTCTACAATCTATTATGTCACCTACAGCTTTTTAAGACCCTGCCGGAGCTGGCCTCATTTTGCAGCTCTTCAGTCCACCATTCCTAGTTAGTTCTCTGAATCCTGTCAGGCCATTCTCCCTAGTACCCCACATTCCCAGCCAGCAGAGCCAGGGCCTCTGGGAGCCTATGGGGGATCAGTGCAAATTTGAAAGAGACACTCTGGGCATTTGCCTCCCTGGTAGGTGCATTGCTTGAAGGGAAGAAGGTGCCTTTGTATGATACCCTTTTCCTCTGTGTATGGCTTGGTGAGTGGAATGGCCTGGATTTCAGCACCACTCCCCTTGTCACCTAGCCCAAGTGCCTTTGCACAGTGCACAGGATGTATAACTGTACATAGTGGCCCCAAACTGTGCCATCCACTTAATCTGCACCCACGCAGGTCCTCGCCCTGCTTTATGTGCAGGTTAAGTCGACCCATTCAATGTTTATGCCCTTAAGCCCCTTGTCCTCTTATACTTAACTGTTCTGTAGTTTTTCCTATTAGTTTAATCTGCTCAACTACATTTCTAAAGGGCAATGTCAAAGGCTTTTTCTCCTTTTGAGTTCTTCCTAGCATAGAACTGGGCACAACATAACAATCATTTAAATTTTAAAAAATTCTTTTATAAATTTCTCAGCTTTCAAACAGCTTTTACACAGCAACTCATTTAATGCATCCAGCAACCCTGTGAAGTAAGGATTCTCCTCTTTTATGGAGGGAAACTAGATTTGGGAAGGTTAAGCACACAGTAAGCTTTCAGAACTTTGTTGGTAGTTTGCTGTTCTCTTTGTTACTAAAAGTCTTAAAAACATTTAAAGCTGAACAGCAGGTTTTCTTGATTCATTATGTGTTATGTTTGCCCTATTAATACTCAGATAAGTAGGTTTCTATACGGCAAGAAAAGAAAAACAGGTCCATTTAACACAGGATGTCTTTGAATGAAACCTATTCTAAATATATTTACATATTTCAGATTTCATAGAGATATTCAGAATATTAATGTAGCCTAATTGGAGTCTAATATTGCACCCTCAAACCCAGAGTAGAAAATAAATGACTCTTTTTCCCCCTGCCCTTCTACACCTGTCACAGTTAATTTTTAACCACCAGTGCATTGCAAAACATTCATCCTGAAGAGCCTGATTCATAAATCTTGTTTTAAATGCTCTGGGCTTGATTTTCAACCAAGACTAAAAAGAGAGTGCTAAGGTAGAGGGAAACGACTTTCAAAGAGTTTTACTTTTCTCTGATATATTTTTTTATTAGGTTTAAAATGTGGTCTGACATTAGAAGTTTGTTTCAAAGGTAAGAAATGAAACCTTGAGGAAAATAAATGCATGCATTTAGATGGTTAAAAGTAAACAGAAGCAAGCCACACCAGGTTTTATAAAAAAAAATAGCAAATTTTATTTGTGCTTGAGAGATGTATTTCTGTGCACTGGAGGGGGAGAGTCAGTTTTACTTTTGTTTTCATGG